GCAGAACTACTGACATACTGCTCTGGGTCTGTGGATTAAATACAGCAAATCTTAAGAGCAAATGAAAGCCACTGTTGGTGGGAAGAATCATCTGGTTAATTAATATTTTTATAATTCAGACATGTTACATTTTCAGAATATGAAGCAATTTAATCATTTCCGTATGTATCAATCCAGAGAAGAGCAAACAGAGGAGGTGCTGCTTCCAGTAGGAAGTGGAAGAAATCCAAGTTGCTGCAGCCTCACTCGGCTTTCCCCCTCCCCTCAACCAGCACTGAACATGGTTAACCCGATCACTGACATGATCAGCAGGAAACCCATCCCTTCAGGGAGGAGAACAGTTAGGTTTTGGCTAGATCTGCATCCTCAGCCTCCTTACCATATATTTACACAAGCACCAGTGCTGTCACAGCAAAGGGTAGGACTGCCTCAGCTGAAGTTGACACTGCTATGAACTGCTTTGGCACTGCACCATACTCCAGAAGGTGATGAAGATGCACTGATAACCTGGCTTTTCAGTGTTGATTCTGTGGTGCAGATGTCCACTGAACCTAATGTTCAAGATCAAACAGGAGTTAATAAACTTATATAAGTGGTTAAGTTTAGTACATGGTGTTTACTGACCTTGAAACATAGAAATGTACTGGCATATTGCTTGAGTAGCTCAACAATATGCAAGAAGAAATGCAGATGTTAAACACTGGCACATTTCGGTAGTCCATATCCAACGTAAACCATGAAAGAGCCCTTCTACGACCTAGACAAGTCATATACTGAGTAGAAGTTAGATACATGAACTGGGTTACTCACATTTTACGTAACAGATCAGCTGTATATGTTAGACCAGCAACAGACACTTTAGGCTTGGGTTCTACCATCACCACTTATCCAGATGAGATAACTGCAAACTGAAGTTGTTTATTTCTGTGATTGCTACAGCTCATTAGCCTGGAAAATGATAGTACTGGGGGGAAGAGCAATGGCATCAACCTTTTAGAATCAATAGTCTACATCAATATTATGTAGTTTTTGGCTGTTCATATCACATGTGTGAAAGCATGAGCCTCAGATTGTTAGAGATGCCTTGAAGTCTGGCTCTTAAGAAAGTCAGCCTAAAGTACTTCTTAATAGTACATGAGTTTTGAGATTTATAGAAAGAATAAAAACTTTTCAGAATTCATGTTAGCACAACTCAGTATTTCAAAGAAGTAAATAATGAGTTGCATTCTTCCATTTGTCAGCCAACAAAGCTTGCTAAAAACTTGGTATCTCAATTATATCTGACACTTCCCTAACACCACTTGCCATAATAGAATCTGTCAGTTGAACTAGCATGCATTTCAAATTACCAGTGCAAATTTCTGTTATTAATTGGTGCAGGGCAAAGGCATTCAACTGGCAGATGAATCATTCTCTCCATTGGGAGGCAGAAATCAGAGTGCAATCACTTTATGCTTGAGCTGTTAGAAATGCGGTGTTGTAACTGCTCCTACAAGCTGCTGTCAGTAGAACTGGAGACACTAGCATTCAGACTGCAGGGTCACTGTAGTTTTTCTGACAGCAGACACAGCCACATCTGACATATTACTTTGGAAATTGAATTCTAATGAGATGCCTTTATACCATGTTTAGAGCTGTGTGATTTTGATCATTTAAGAAAAATAAACTGCATCTATTAGATAAGCTAGATACCATGTGCATAATCATTGCCCCATGCATAAGGTTCCATTCCTTGTTTGATGGTTTTGCACTCTGATGTTACTTTCACACAAGCCTTTGTGAATTAACACTGAAGCCTTCTGAATTTACACTGTAGCGAGTAATGGGAAAAGGGACTTCTAGATCATTACACGTCTGTGAGAAATGCTGTGAAATAGATGTTATCCCAATTTTGGTGCAGGTAACCTGTCTAGTTGACCATATGCCTTGTTCTCAGTGACTTAACTAGCTTGACCAAGTGATTTACTGCAGGTAATACTGTCGTCATGGACTCACTGCAGTGACTCAGTCACCCATCTCCCCTTTCCACAGGCGCTTCCTCAGACTTCTCTGCAGGTTAGATAGTGGTATCTGAGTGAAAATGAGCCTGATTGATAGCCTACAACCAGGACGCTTTAGGGTTAAACTTACTTGACTTTATCCTGCTTGCTATGGGGGAGGCTACCTTCCCTGTGAAGAGGAGACCCAGAGCCCTTATGATAGCCTGGCCTTCCTTCTGCAGCAGAGTTGCATGGTTCTTTCAGGTTTTCCTGGAGTTCTGACCATGCACATTGTTTTTTGATACTACAACAGTAGCTATACACAATTTTTAACAATATTTTATTTAAATTTCCTTTATATGTTTTGCCTCGAGGTTACAAATTATTCATAGTGCAAAGGAGTCAAACAGATATAGACAAAACAAGTAAATAAGCTACAAATATCAGTAGTATGGAGGAATCAGTTATGTCAAAGTATTATCCAGTTATTATTTCAGTGCTAATTCTATGAAAAGAGACTATGGATGTCAGTTTTCCAATGACTTATGAAGCTATTAGCAGAAGTACTGACAGGAAGTAAGTATCTGCCCCTACGGAATTCATCATTTTACCAGAATAACAAGTTCTGATGCCAGTCAAGCAGTATCGGGAAGGCAAGACTTCTGAGTTGGTGCAGTATTTCTCCATTGCGGATGCATAACCAGGATCAGTATTTACTGAGAAACTGTTCTCAAAAACTTGGCTTGTATGCAACCAGATAATTCAACATGATTTGTAAAGAATTTAGTAAGTGGCAGTAGTATGTTTCAAGTATACTTATCAAGGAGACCACATTATCAGAAGAATTAATGAAGCTTCATTTTGAAGCAACAAAAGTATAGTCTTCTTCCAGAAACCCTACTTGTATATGGAGTGCAGAAGTGGGTGCCAGGAATAGTCTCAAGTGACTCTAGAAAATAGCTGATTTGCTGTTTCTATTCTGTGCATGCTTAGCTTTGTCTTTCAGTTGTTAAATACTTCGTGTGTTTACAGGTGCTGTCCTTAGTCCAGTTCATGACTTTAATTTTATGCTACAGCTAAATTCTGTGGATGTCATATCAGTAAATAAAAGCATGTACCATGGGATAAAAATCACAATTACCAGCAAATATCCTGAGAAAGCATCTACCAGCAAGCACCGGGAAATGACCCTACGAAGATGTAGTGCTGCCACCTTATGATTAAGTCATGAATCTCAGGATGTTTGATTAACCTTCGTGTTTTGAGCCATATTAGCCTACCAAGAATAGGCTTATCACAATATATACTCTTCTGCATAACAGTAGCTTCTAACCTCACACCTTGCATACTTAAAAACGTGTTACAAAGGCTGAAATGGCAGATTTCTAATAAGATTTCTTTCTATTCTCATGCCTATGAATCCTTGTACAATGGTCTGATTTTAGCCAGCTAAAATAAAAATAATAAAACTTGTTATTGATACGGATCATTGTTTAAATGTGAAAAAGATATCCACAAAGCTGCAGAACATTCTAATAAAATTTTTATTTAAATACTTGCTTTATACCTTTCAGACTGCAATGAAAATATCAGAACAAGATCTCACCTTCTGGCTAGCTAGAATTCCTGCTTTTTCCTGGCTTATTCTTGCTCCCACTTCCATGAACATGCTGCAAACAGCAATTCCCAAGTTATAGGAAAGCACAACATTGCTTGGCCACCTGTACCTGAAAGCAAGACACCTATCTGCACCATTCAATAACATTCCAGTTGCCCAGTATCCACCTCAGTGTTCAAAAATAAGAGTTTAATACTGCAGGATGGGTCCCTAAAGCTTGTGGAAGGCATGAAATCTGAATTGAAATAGCCATGTTTAGTGTGTACTCACAGCCCAGAAAGCAACCATACCCTGGGCTGCATCAGAAGAAGTGTGACCAGCAGGTCGAAGGAGGTGATCCCGCCCCTCTGCTCTGCTCTCGTGAGACCTCACTTGGAGTATTGTGTACAGTTCTGGTGTCCTCAACATAAAAAGGACATGGAGCTGTTGGAGCAAGTCCAGAGGAGGGCCACAGGGATGATAAGAGGGCTGGAGCACCTCCCTTATGAAGACAGGCTGAGAAAGTTGGGGCTGTTCAGCTCAGCCTGGAGAAGAGAAGGCTGCGTGGAGACCTCATAGCAGCCTTCCAGGATGTGAAGGGGACCTACAAGGATGCTGGAGAGGGACTCTTCATTAGGGACTGTAGTGGTAGGACAAGGGGTAATGGCTTTAAACTTAAACAGAGGAAGTTCAGGTTAGATATAAGGAAGAAGTTCTTCCCTGTGAGAGTGGTGAGGCACTGCAACAGGCTGCCCAAGGAAGCTGTGAATGCTCCAACCCTGGAGGTGTTCAAGGCCAGGTTGGACAGAGCCTTGGCTGACATGGTCTAGTGTGAGGTGTCCCTGCCCATGGCAGGGGGGTTGGAACTAGATGATCTTAAGGTCCTTTCCAACCCAAACCATTCTATGATTCTATGTTATCCATCTTGTAATTTTAAAAAACAAAAACAAAATAATATAAAATTTAAAAAAAAAAACCCCTGCCTCCCAAAACCCCCACTTTTCTACATATACTAGGGGTTGGTCTTTTCTGACTAAGCCTTTGACTGACGATGAAAGTTGTATGATTTAATAAGTAGTATCTGAAAACACCTCAGCACAGGTGTCAATCATGCTCCCTAGTTCTTGTACGGAACTGTGGACTCTGGAATCCAGTGTGTATTAGAGAATTTATTCATTAGATGGGAATACTTTCCGTTAACAATGTTAGTGCTGGTTTAGCCAGGATGACAGAATTTGTCACTTCAAAATTCAAATGCTTTTGCTACAGCATTTAGAAACTACATTAACTTTCAAGTATGCAGGTGAATTTATAGAAATGATATTAAAAAATGTAGCATAGCTTTACATTAACAAAATCCCCAAAAGATAACTAGTTGCATTGCAGATTACTCCATAGATCTCTCTTTCTAGGCCCCATAAGTCTTAAAATTCATAATACAGGATTAAATGTGATATAGTTACAAGTGTCAGACTCAAAGATTGTGCCACAGAATGAAATGCAAAGGACCTGACTCTCTGAAGCTGATGATTACGTAGGTCTAAGCGGCAGAAATTTTGTGCTTCTTGTGGAGTTTCACTTTCCCCTACATCCATTATTCTGCTAAGGTTCCGCACCTGGAAAAATATAAAAGGTTGCCATTGAAAGCCAGACTGGCACAACAGCAAAAAGCATTATGCAGCTAGCAAATTCAGCGCTATTTAAAATGAATCAACTCAAACTGTATTGCAAAACCAGATCTGAATATGAGGAAATCAACGTAATTATTCTGATGTTTGCATTCTTATGAAACACTTTCCGGAATTCAGTACAGATACATTATAGGTGAGAGTCACAGATGTGGCTGTTCTTTGTCTTTGCTCCATCCACGTATGGATGCATTAGCTGGAAAACCTTAAGCAAACAAACTCATCATCTTTCCCTGAAGTCAGCTCATAGTCCATAGATTGGCTAGGTGTGATGAGTTCCAACCTCCTTATAATGCCAGACTGCCACATGTGCAAATCGGCATTACATAGACATTTTGGGTGATTAACCAGAACAGTACAGAATTCTGTTCATCTAACATGCCCCCCAGAGGCATTTTTTTCACTGGAACAAATATCACTGTGAAATATATGTTGTCTACAAGGCTTTGTGTATAATATTTTCTTACTTATACCTATAAATAAAAACAGTAGGAGGCAAGCAGTTTGTGAGCTGCAGCAGAAGCTTTTGAAACAATTACCATTTAGGGGGTCCTTACTCTCATATAGTCTCCCCCTCTCCTCCTCTGTCTTCCTTCTGGATTAGCATCTAACATTTACGTGTAAAGCTCGTGATCTAGTTGTTATGCTTATGGCTTGTTAGTGATCTTGTCATGGCAGAAGCCTTTTGGATAGCAGCCAGATCCCATGACAGGAATTAAACTGATTTGCAGGAGACAGCATTCCTTACTGCACCAGCGAACACAGCCAGACTGTGACGCTGGTATGTCTGCAGTACCTCCAAACCATGAAGTGATTCTATTGAGAAGTCAGTGATGTGTACTTATCAGATTACCACAGAGAGAAAAAGTTCCAGAGCTTTGTCCACTCTCTCAATTTCCTTTATTCTGCTAACACTCTCTTCCCATTTCAGGTTCTTTCCCAGCATTTGTAATTATTGCATTAAGTGCTACATTCCCTCAGAAATTTCCTGTGGTGGTGGGGAGGGAGCAGCAAGGTTCTCTCTCCATTTTAGTATGAATCAAGATTTGGTTTTGCTTTTAATCTTACATTTTCCACTTCCCTGAAGACACGGAGGAAGTTCTCCCTTAAGACCCCTTTCAGTTCAGTTACATTCCATCCTCTTCTAAGAAGTTCCTCAATTAAAGAAGGGTATTTAGAAACATCTTCCAATCCCTCAGGGAAACTGTTGGCAAGAGTCACACAAAGAACGTTCAACATATATCACTGAAAAACATGTAGAAAAATATTTTTAATTAGTCTTTTGCACATATTTGCTTTCGGAGTGAGCTCACTTTAGACCCGGCTTTTCCTCTGAGAAGTTAAAAAACTAATTAAGAATGCAACTGACAAACAGAAGCAGGGCTGGGACACAATGAAAGGCTTTTTTTGCACAGAGGATCCCATAAGCAGAACCAACTGTGTGTTCTGGCATTAAGATGCACTTGTGTATGGGTAAAACAACAGTATGGAGCATATTAAAACAAAACAAAAGATTAAAAAAAAACCCCATGAAACCAAATTCATGTATGCAGTAACCCACTCTTTATCTGGCCTTTAAAGTAAGAGGAAACAGCTGCATCACAGATGGGGTTGGTACAATCCACTTGTGTAACCGAGAACAAGAGGGAACCTGCTAGCACATGATGAAATAAGGAGTTGCAGGCAATTTTATGTACTCTCTTGTTTACAAAGTCATTTTCCCAAAGAACATATAATTAGAATAAAAATGTTGTTTTGAATTCAGCAGTTTAGGCAGTGAAAAGAAAGCTGTTCAGAATCCTCTACTGAAGAAATTACAGTAAGCAAAATTGACCTGTGTCTTGTGCTAATTCTTATCAAAATAAAAAGGAATTAGAAGCTGCAAAATCTGCATTAAACAGAAGTTCTTAAACTGTATTTCCATGAATGTTTGACTTTATTTTGAGATAACTAACATTTTCTGTTATTTTTCTTTTCTGTGGAGATGTGGTGATAAGCATATCTCAAGAAATCTGTGCCATTACTTCCTACCAGGACTTAGGACCTTAACTCCACCACCAATTAAATTGATGGTCTCTGTGAAATTGCATGCAATAAAATGTGTCCTTTTGTTGAGAACTGTAGTTTTACTTTGGAGATTATAGTTTCAGAGCTATGATTAGCTAAGTCTCATGGAAGCTGACATGCTCTTTTTGTGATCTTACTTTACAGATGTGAGTCTGATCGTGACTTTATTACCAAAGTGCGTCTGACCCCAGGGAGGGGACGGGGGGAAGAAGATTCAACAGAAAGATAAAAAGCAAAAATAGGCCAGCAAATGCCACCCAATCTGCATTTATTTCCTGTGCTGTAACAACACTAGCTCAGGAGTGAGCACGAGAGGTTACATTTTAGGCTGTCCACCATGCTCTGCTTGCCACAAACACTTTCCAAGCCTCAAAAGCAGGACCCAATTCATATGTTGGGCTTTCCTCACTAGAAGGTAATAGTGGAGGGAAGAGTGGTGCATATCTCCATAGGCTAACCTATCAACCATGTAAAGGTGGAGGTATTCTGTCACTCATCTTCAGCTTCTTGGAGGAAAGCACTCTCTTGCTGTTTTTGTATGTGCAAGCCACTGCCTAGAACTCACAATTGCAGAGTTCAGAGAGTATTAGAATCCAATTCCACATTTGTAGCACTGCTTCATACAGTTCTACAAAAAAATCATTGTGCCTTGTTTTCATAAAAATTGGTTTAGTGCTCATCACAAGACAACTTGCTATAACTCTTCAAGGCCAGGTTGGATGGGGCTTTGAGCACGGTGCCCCTGCCTGTGGCAGGGGATTGGAACTAGATGAGCTTTAAGGTCTCTTCCAACCTGAACTATTCTATGATCTCTTAGTATACCTTCTTTTTTCCCTGAAAGGATTTAAAACCTTCCTAATTTAAGGAGCAGATGTCAATGTATGGGCAATTTTACTAACCGTTCTACTCCATCATAGTCACCACCAATTCCTATCGATTCTGAACCTGCAATTTTCTTTATGTGATCAAAATGATCTGAAAGAAAATGTCAAAGAAAACAGTGTCTAAGCATCCACCAAGAAGAAGTAGTTCAGCCGTATAGGCACTAGACGACTGTTTCCCTCAGTCATGGGTTCTTAACCAAATCCTGTTAATGAAAAGTCATGATGAGGAAAAAGACATCACAGCACATTATTTCCCAACAAGTACCCCACATATACCAACAGATTTTTCATTACCCATTACATACCTTTATTTTCCACTCTTAATTACAAAGGTTTAAGACCTAAGACAGTAACAACTTCTTTGGGATTAATGGTTCTTGTCTCCATTTGGGAGCATCATGTCCTCCAGCTACACACTTTGTATCTCTTGTTATTGTTTAATGAATATTAGCTCCAAAATTACCTAGAGCTTGGGTAAGGTGTGGAAGGCAATAAACAAGCACTATAATTTACAGTGTCTCAAAAATGATTCAGACACCAGGAAATTCATAGAAGTTACCCACAAAAACTTCAGTATATTAACTTCAAACCTGCAAGGGTAGAAATATTAACAATTTTTCTGCCACAGGCCAGTACATCTGCATTGAAAGTCACCATGATAATTCCCTTGTTCTTTTTCTGAAAGATATGAAGAGACAGGTAGTGAATGGAAACTTGTGTTTCCTGCAGACCTTATAGGCATCTCATGTAGAGCCTTCTCCATCCACACCCCCGCCCATCCATCCATCCATCCATCCATCCATCCATCCATCCACCAGTAAGCATAACAACACTCTGTAAAAGTCGAAGCTTAGACGACCACACAAGTCTTTGCCTCTCTGTCCTTTGCCCTGGATTCATTATATTCTCATGTAGCCTGAATCAGTAGAAGTCCAGTCCATATCAAACAAACTCAACCAGGAACTCAAAGTATTTGCAAACACTTCATTTTTTGTAGCTAAAGGAAATACACAACCCGAATAAAATGTCTCAAGAAGCAAACGTGTAACTTGCTGCTTAGGGATTTGCTTATAAATCCAATTCAGATAGGAGAAGGTGAAAAGTAAACACCATGACTTGAATGTGCAAGTTTGCCTCAGACCATTAAAACAAACAAACAAAAAAAAATGCCCAAATCAACAAATCCAAACAACCTCCCAAAACAAAACAAAACAAAAACCACACACACATACACACAAACCCAACCCAACCAACCAAAAAACCCCCACCATATTGCTCACTACTTGCTCGAGGATATCATCAGGAACATTTCTTGAGTGATTACAAACAGAAAACGCAGAGGAATGACTGAAAATTACTGGTGCTTTTGAGATACTCAGTGCAGCTTTTGCTGTCATATCTGAAGTATGAGATAAATCTACCAGCATACCCAGACGATTCATCTCCTTTACCACTTCCTAAAACAGACAAGAGTGTCAGTATTAAGTTTCCTTAAAAGAAACAGTTTAGCTGGTATATGTAAACAGATAAATAAATTCTGGATCTGTTAGCTAGTCATAAATACTCTGTGCCTGAATGGATTTCTGTTTACCTATGAAATGAATAGGTAATTCATACTTAATTGTGAAATTCTTAGTTAAGTAATTCATATTTAATTCTTAATTAAGAATTAATTGTGAATTCACTCACAATTAACTAGCACACCACCACATACTCAAAACTTAGAAAACTCAGTCAATCTGTAAGTCATTTCAACTGTTATTCACATCCCACCACTTCCACATATTAATTCATACATCTGATGTCTATTAAAACAATTGTTAAATATAGTACTTCTTTTACCCTAAAGAACATCCAGGGAATTTGGTTTGACTGAACCCTGACCATCTCCTAACTATCAAGAACTTCCACTAACTAATTTTTAATGACAAGTTAGTTACTTTTGAAAATATAAGGCCAGAAGTTCTTAGCTGCATGCGAGATTGCTTAGATTAACATTTTTGAAAGAGATCCTTACTTGGCCAAATGCAGTCAGACCATTAACATTGGGGTAAAAGTTGTGTATTCCTTTAGATGATGATTCAGACCTTAAAAAGGTGGGGAGGGGGGGAGAGGGTGAGGAAGGAGAAACGTCATATTATTATGGACACCTCAATATCAGCAACTGAAACTTCTTATGCTACACACAATAAAAATCATTACCATGTCACATAGCCAAATGTAGGGATAATGAGCTACATAACTATCTTGTTCACAACTGTTTTCTGGACATTATGCCTTCATGTTCAGAACTGTTGTGTGTTTGTGAAGCAACACAAGACAAGCAAAGAGATGATTGTAAGAATTTTTCTGACATAATTCCCCTTTCCCTGAGTCAGTATTCAAAATTTCGGAAAAAGTCATGTCAATCCAGCAAAGAGTAGGTGCTAATAGTCTGATATGGACCTAAGTACCTATTTCTGATGCTGCACATGGGACCTGCACTTTTGAGCTGGCCAGAGAGGAGAGTGTTGAAGGCGGCTGACTGCTGCTGACCTATATAGCACTTACCTCTTATCTATATCTTATGCATTTTTACTACCTTTTTTTTCCCTTTCTTTGCTGTATGTAGCTTTCCTAACAAAGCAAAGGGGATAGCAAGTTTACCATCTTTGTGCTGTTAACAAGGGTTAAAAGTTCCCAAATTATCAGCATAACAAGGACTACATAACTGATCCTTCAGTCTCCCACTTGATGTATAGCAAGTTATTTACCTCTAAACCCTATCATCCTTGACTTAGTTCAGAGTCTTTCACAGGTGAACTGTGTGTCTGAATACATGTTTTCCCATCTTGGAAAATGCCACCACTTTGCATTAGGTGTGCACACAAAAACATGACTTTAGTTACCAAGGTGTATTGCAGGAATGTGTTAAAGACATGTAACGAACACCCAGGTCATAATACATCCTCAGTGTTGCCAGACTGCTGTCAATGGAGTGACCACCTTCTATTCCAATCAAACACGCAATCCTTCTACTGTCAGAGATACCTGGAAACAGCAAAGTAAGATAATTCCAAAGTAATTTCATAACAGATAAGAAACAAGCAGTACAAAGAAACAATTGTTATTGTAAATTGCAAGCAATAATACCCACATTGCATAGAACAGGCGCTTATACTAGTGCATGTTTATATGGCAAACTTTCTTACGACTGCAGTGACCTACAACTGCGCACAGTCAGTTATTGTGGTTCAGTGGGAAAAACGAAGTTGAAGTTACTCTTTAAGGCAGGACAACTTGCCTTCTTGCAGCTCTGTCTTTTGCACATAACTCCTGCAACCCCATTTAAAACATTTATGGTATAAGAAAGAATGTCACCTTGGGAAGTTGTCACAAGTTCAAGCTCTTCATAACTGTTACACATTCTCTTGACAACATCAATTTGTTCTAAGGTCAGACGCACAGCATCCTTGTTCTGAGCGCTGCAAAGAACATACACTGACCAAAACTGAAAGAGACATTGACAAGTAAACAAGATAGCTTGTGTTTCAACTTGGAAAATCTCAATTACTAATAGTGAAGTTCATGAGCACAGACCAAAATAATTTTGTGCAGTTTACAAGGGAGTTGCCACTACAATTTTTCCCCAAAAAGCAGACGTAGGATATAAGGCAAGAGCATCTGCTCCAGACACAATTAAAGCCACCTGACACACTCAGCTGCTCCGCAGTACATACACAAAAGCAGATGCAAGTTTAATTTACATATCACTAAATGAAGACCACTGTTTTGGATAAGGGTACCCAGATTATGAAACACACATTTTTGAAACACAAATCTTACAGAAAAGTGTCTGTGGCTTTTCAGTTTAATCGTTTTTCAACAAAAATAGCTAAAAAACAAGGCCAGGAGTACATTTGTGATTGTGAAGGAGGCAAATGTAAAAATATGTTCTCATACTCACAACCATGGCAGTACATACCTGAGCTCCCACAAAACCAGCCTGTAGTTTCACAAGGTTTGTGTGGGTCTTGTTGAGTTCTCTTAAGTTGACTGTACTGAGTCTATTTTGGTAAAATATTCTCAGCCGCAGTACCAAGTCATTGTGGCTAGAATTGAAAAAAATAGGGCTTGTGATAGAAATAAGTTGTTCCCCTTTCTAATACAAATGTAATTTCTTCCACTGTTCATAGTCCCTTAGACCACTCATTTCCAGTAATCCTTGCAGTAATATATGCTTAGAAGTCTCCTTTCTTTTGCAAACAAGCTTTATTTCTTAATTAGGACAGCAAGAAATTTTATTTTGCTTCTTCCATTTTCATAGCTATTGTGTTTCTGTATCTACTTTTCTCCCTACCATTGCTGAGGGAGTGGAAGAATTGAAATCAGCCACCACGCTCCTTTATAAATAAGTACTTGTGGCAGAATAATCAGTGCTGCCTGTGCTAGAAGAATCAGCATCTGTATTCCCAGGTCAACATACACTCACCACAGACATCATTCTTTCAAGTTTTAAGAGTACCCTCTCAAGGAACAATGCCTGCTTTCTAGCTCTGCACAGAAATTGTTGCTATTGAAAGATGCCATTAAATTACTGGAAGGAGACAAGGACATTATGTTAAAGGGAAATAATAACTAAGTGGCAAAACATAATGTTCTAGCTTAGAGCTAATTTTCTTCATAGTAGCTGGTATGCGGCTATATTTTTGATTCCTGCTAAAAACAAACAACATTGATAATTCAGGGATGTTTTTGTAATTGCAGAGAGGTGCTTACATAAAGTCAATGCCTTTTCTGCTCCTTACACTACTCCACCAGAGATTAGGCTGGGGGTGCAAAAGAACCTGGGAGGGGACACAGCCAGGACAGCTGACCCCAACTGACCCAAGGGATATTCCATACCATATAATGTCATGGTCAGCGTACAATGCTGGGAAAGGAGGAGGAAGGGGGTACATGATGGCATTTTTCTTCCCAAGTAACTGTTCTGTATGATGGAGCCCTACTTTCCTGGAGGTGGCTGAACACCTGCCTAACCATGGCAAGTGGTGAATTAAATCCTTGTTTTGCTTTGCTTGTGCAGATGGCTTTTGCTTTACCTATGAAACTGTTTTTATCTCAACCCACACATTTTTGCACCTATACCCTTCTGATTCTCTCCCCCATCCCACCAGGGAGGTGAGTGAGCAAGTGGCTGTGAAGGGCTCAGTTGCAGGCTGGGGTTAAACCACAACATCTGACCAGAACATCACAAGTGCATTTAGAATAACCTGCTCCTATAAGTAAGTACCGTCTGAACCAAAACACCTACAACTAACTGCTATATAGGTGCTAGTAATTGCCTATGTTTCTGCTGTTGCAAACACATGTTAGTATTCCTTTCTTACTTGTCAGATTCACAGAGGGTTTAATTGAAAGTATTTCATATACCCATCGATTAAACGTGCATCTTGCATCAGCTCGATAGCTTGCTCTCGCATTGATTTCTCATAGCTGAATAGCACAATATCAAAGAACATCAAGAGCCACAGCAGCTTTGTTGTATTTCTCTTCATTTCCTTTTTACAATTCGCTAAAGCAAAGAGATACCACCATTATTCTCTAAGCACCACGAAACAGCAAAATCTCCAGTCTGCGGAGGCTGTAGGCTTAATAACTCTCCTTCTGGTAAGGCTGAGGTGAATTCTGCAGAAGAAAAGAAAGAATAAAGGAAAATAGTACACAGAAGGGAAGGCAGCAGCAGAAACTGTAAACCAGCTACCTTCTTCCAAAGATTTTGAGGTCTCTGGCTATTGTGATTTTGCACATATAAACACTCTAAACTCTGCTGCTGCCACCAGCTGACTGCTGAAGGGAACTAGCTCCTCAGAGCTGGCAGGGTGAGCCTGGGGGACCATGGACTCACACCTCCCAAAAAGCAGCTCCCAAAACAGTGTAACAGGATAGTTTTCTCATTACATTAACCATTTTGTTCTCGTTATTTGGGAAACCTCACAGTGAAACGAACACTGAAACCGTTCTTGAGAAATTCCAAAAGTCAGCTTCTTCTGAGTAAATTGTATTGTTAAAGCACACAGCATGTCAGACTATTTGCAGAGGAAAGCTATTGAAATCCAACACTTTTTCATACCTTAGGAAGGACAGTGTGCTCCAGACTTGAAAGGGTCACTTTATTTCCATGACGAAATGGGTATGACAGACTTCAAGACTAATGCAAGCAGCCCCTGCTCTTGCAGTCAGTAAAGTTTATAAATGTAAACTTTCTTCTGGCAGCACAAAAGTTTGTTTTTACTAATAAAGGAAGTTGGGTCTATGTAATCCTCCTCTTCAGAGGTAAAAACAAATAGCAAATATCCAAAATGTTATAAAATTACAAGGCAATTCACCTTGCCTGCATGCTGTCCTTCTCTTGTCTTCAAGACAATTTTCTAAAGCAACAGGAGGTAGACATAAACCCAGGAAATGGTTTCCTGATATAAAGCCACATATTCATTTATGAAGTCAGAGATATCTCAAGGAAGATCCATGGGTGATGGTGGTATTGGAACCAAAGTCAAGTCACACTGACCAGATTACCTATTGATGGCACTCTGTTCTAAACACATTTCTTTCTGCCCCTTACAAGAGCATTTTTTTTAGAAAAATCAAAGCCAAAATAAGAGTAAGCCTGTAACTAGGATATTGAAAAGCAACACCGTGAAAAACATATTGTTAAAATTCTTGTATTTCCAGCCTATATATTAAACCATTTTCCTATCACCTGCAATATATAGGGTGTAAATCAAAGGAAAAGTTAAGTGGCTGATTTGCCCTGCAGATGCCTCATAAAATGTAAATGAGTTTGTAAAGGACTATTTCATGAGACAATATGAATTTATTTAAGCTGTTCAATTAAGATGTTTCCAAATAAAAATTAGTCCATTTTGCATGTATTTTATCCCTAAACCAAAATAAAGTAAAAGTTGGGGAGGCGGGGGGTAGGGTTTTTGTGGGGTTTTTTTAATTAAGACATTACCTCCCAACTTGGGTTTAGGAAGGTGCAAACTGCTATTCTAAAAAAGTCCTTTAACTTGGACAAAATTCCTAAGGTCCCTCTTCTGGGAAACTGGCTGTTTCGCAAGATTTGGGAATGCATTAAATCGTGGGACCATCTGGCAGGAAGTACTTTTGAACAGTGGGAACATACAAGCTTATACAAAAGACAGCATAGATGGAGAAGCAGGTTTAAAATCAGCCCTGAAATGGTCTCAGAAGGAAGGTCTAGGAGAGCTGCATAAACACAGTAGTATGGAGGCACAAATGAAGATCCAATATAAATATATGGGAGGACCTGTTACACTAACGAAGGAAAATTAATAACCCTCATCTCTTGATGTTTCCTACAAGAAAAGCATAATGTAAGGAATAGCATAGAGAGTATTTGTGAAGTACAGAGATCTAATGCTACATAAAGTGCTCTAGAAAGAGATTTGTCCTTCAAGGATGCTTGACAGTCTATGTTCTCATTCGTTAATAAATGTAACAGAAATGACTGACTGAAAGTTTCTTCTCATGTGCACAAAACTTAAGGATCCTTGGCTCAGCCCTTAGGACAATTCCCTTGGGAATCAATTTACATCAGAAGTCTATGCATCTGAGTTTTCTCATGGAAAGAGTTTCCTGCAGGCCCACCCACTTCCCCTGGGGTTGGAATAAGGACAAGACTTCCCAAGTGCGGGATGACAGCCTCAGATTGTCCTTCAGCAGAGCACAGCTGACTCCCTAGTGGGGTTCATTTGCACAGGATTTGTGCTGTAGCAGATGGAAGGTCTTGTTCCTCTCATATCTGCACAATAACCAAAGGAACCTTCTGTGTTCTTCCCACATTGACTGATTGGCAGGGAGATTTTTCTGCTTCTATCCATTGCCACAGCTTTATACTTGTATATAGAGAAAAAAATATTGAAAGGATCATTTTCTATCATTTTTTTTGTAATTTTTTGAATTACCATTGGAAACAACTGTGATATGTCAGCGCTGAACAAGTTGACCTCTGCTATTACTTTAACTCAAAGAAATTGAATATTTATAGATTATGTATTTGGGGGAAGAAAATGAGGCAGGTCACAGATATGTCAGCTTAAACATTATATCCAGGTGCAGCAAAATCCATGTCCAAAATATGAGCCCTGTGTGCTACTATGACATGATATTTTATTTCCTTCTGTTACTTGTTTTCTATAAAATCCATTTATGCAAGAAGGCACATTCCAAGAGGAAAAGATGATCAGAATCCTATTGGAATTTTATATGCATTTAAAACTGCAGCAGTTTGCTTACAGTTGATTTATTTCAATTAACTTCATGCAGAGAATTAGAAGATACTATGCAGTGGGGATATAAAGTAAACCAGGCCCAAGAGCCTGCTATTTCCCTTGCAAAACTCCTTTCTCCCAGCCCTGGGGTACATAAAGCAAAGTGCATCATTAGTCCCACTTCTTACTGTCAGCTCCGCTCCAGCTACACAACACAGGCTTGCAACATTCAGACACACAGTGTGGAGGAGACAAGGAGCGGAAGAGATAAGGAGAGAGGTCAACCTCTTCTTCCACATACACACTTCAGAGCTGAAAAATCTCTTCCATATCTACCTTCGCATTTCTCATTGAGAGCATAACTGCTTTACATCTCCATCATACCTCTGCACACAGGACAGGCACAGCAATTTTAGGGCATCAAGCTTAGAAAAACCATCAGCCCACAGCCCAAAATAAAAAATGGCAGTCCCTGGAGAGATAAATAGGCACAGAGTGAGTCTTTGCAGGCACATTCTACAGAAAGAAAGCTTGAATTCACACTAGTTAGCTTCTACCACTGGTTTAGGTTCTTCAAGCTCTTAATGAACAGCAGGAAGTTGCTATCAATAAAACATGAATGCTGTGTATACTACACTGAGTGTTACCACATCAGGGAGGACAGGGCTATAATGAAACAGGATGGTCGTATCAGCCATATAAGGATGCAACAGTTTGCTGTTTTAAAATAGATACATTTTAATGGAAACTTTTACAGTAAAAAAAAGTTTTTCTGCGTGCTTCTGTCATTTACCATCTTCGGAAGCATGGGCAAGCTGCCTGGCCTCTCTTCTCTTTTCTAGCAGGCAGGCCAGACTTCAGTGCAGAAGGTTCAGTAAACTGCTGCTATTCAAGTGCAGCAAATCTCAGTTAGGAATGGCATTGCTTTCATCCCGGTTGAAGTCCTTATCTTCCTTCTTATTCTTCATTAAAACACTTAACATACTCAAATTTGTGGAATTATTGTGCCAAATCAAAAATATATAGTACAATAAAACAGAGCTCACAGCTCAAGATAGTAACATCCTGAAAAATGAAGAAGGTTCACTCCCTTACACAGTCCAGTTATGCTGAGATCTAATGCAGATACTCCTAGTGTAGCTCTGAACTAAATACCCCACATCATAGCTTAGTTGCCATAGCATAGAAAACACAAGGTGACCAGGACCCAAAGTAAATTTTTCCATTTTGACCTATTCCTTAAATAATAAGCATAATTAGTAACACATAAATATTAAACATACTTTTAGGAGCAGAACATATGCATCATGCTATGAAGTATGTTTTTAAGAAAAAATACCAACCCCTTTGAAAGTCACCTTGTCATCAAAATAGTCTTTCAAATCTTGCTTGAAATTCCTCTCACCATCACCAGCCCTAAATCATGTCAGGTTTATCTGTTCCTCTGCTTAGAAACCTCCTTAGTGCTGTATTACAATTTACAATTTCCAGCCTGCTTCCCTGCCTGTGCAAAGGTGCAATGAAGTGCCATCTAACAATGAGAAAACACAGTGCTGTTAAATTTATAGCTTAAAACAGAGATAAAAGGGAATAAACACAGTAATGGTGGGAAGGCATTTCAGGATCTCTAGAGAAGAGAAAGGAACAAGCAGGATAGCTTGTCTCAAACTTCCTGTGAAAGGGGAACTCAATACAGGCAATTACAGTACTTCCATATAAAGTCACTCTTAGCTTTCAGCCTTGAGTTTAAATGCATCCTTGGATGTTACATATGCTATCCACTATGCATGTAGACTGAAGGTTTTTCAGATGCAGTGTAACCTCAGTCAGGAAGACTTCTTTGCAACTTCTTTGTATAGGAGATTCATTGCTTTCTCCTTTAAAAGAATTCCATAAAAAATGCTTGTATTACACATAAAAATTATGTTTTAACTCCAGAAATATTCTCGGAATTTCCCTTAAGAAAAGAACAACTACTGAATTTCTTTCCTGTTGGTTGTCATCCTTTACTTCACCATGGTTTTTTCCTATCCACATTTTTTTAGACTTTCTGACAAATTCAAATTGCTGATTCCAGTAATTTTAAAGTAAACAGAAGCATTTTTTCTTTTAATCTAATTACTAATGATGAGGACTATTTTCTTAGAAAACTCATGAAAAGTCTTTTAACTTCAAGACAGATACGCTTTATGGCATAATTTCGTAAAGGCAGAACAAACCAGAACAGCCTGACAACTACTTCTGTAGCACTGTAGCAGACCACGTATTATCAGATAAAACTGTGTCAAGCTTAAGAGTGCTGACCTCAGTGGAAAGGCTGGTCAGGAGTGTTTGATGCAGGGAGTCAGCTGGCTTCTTTGTTAGTGTGCAGTCTCCTCCTTCTCAGATCTGGTGATAAGGCTTTCCTGGAATGCAGAACAGAACCCATTGAATGGCACAAATGGACTTGAGCAATCAACTATTCCATGGTTCCCCTCTGCAAATATACTCTCTACTGTATGGACCACAACAAGTTTCAAAGCTATAGACAGCAGATTATATGAAAGAAATGCTCTTCCTTCCAGTGACCCCAGCTGAGCCCCCGGCCCAAGCCCCTGTCCCTTGTTTAACATGTGCTCTTCTGCATGCCAGGGTCAGTGCAAGCTGTGTCCCCTCCAGCCCCTACCTCTGACAGACTCATTCATTTTGGCAGGGTTTTGCCCAGTTTCAAAACACTTCTGTTATTCTGGAAATGTTTCGATACTGAGCATTAACAGCCAAGTTTTACCATAATGGGTGCAGTCTGTGGAAATACTGCTCTTACAGGAAGCTGCTCTTACAGGAAGTAACGAACTTCACTTCAGCACAAGAAGGCCTACTTGACTACTTGTGCCACAGAGGAGTTTACCTGCCTCTCCCTCAGAGCTGTGTTAAGCAGCATACTCAAGTAAGAAGACTCAGCAGAGATGGTCATGAGCAGTTTTAAAAAGAGGTTGTTTCCAAAACACACCGTGGCCTCCCTTCCCCCCCGCCCCTTCTCCTTCTTTGTGCTGCCCATTTTTTTCTGATCTATAAGAGAGCACTTTGTTTTCTTCTGGAAATGAAAGATTCCAAGGAACAGCAATTCCTGGAAACAGAGTGGTCCTTGAAATCCTTCATCAGATGGGAGTGCAGTCTTAGAGAGTAAGTTTTTCTTCCATAAACATGCATCAGAAATACGCATGCATTGTGAGACCCCAAAACTTCAGTGAAACAGCACTTCTACAGAACTGTAAAGGACAGACATCAATCAGAAGCTGGGGGTTTTTCTACTTCATGCAGCGCTAGACATTTCTTTCAAATGTGGAAGCACAAATACAGACTTCCCTTTTTAACACAAACTTTCTTACAACAGTGAAAAAAATCCTTGTATCTCCAACCTAGAAAATGCCACATTTGGTCATGGCTGCTCAGCATGCAAAATGTCAAAAAGGAAAGGTCAAAAAATCACCCAACCAGCAGAATTCTGGCAAGCTGGCAACACAAAGACAAATCAGTTTCTGCGGGCAACTTTTGGTTTCAAATTCCTCAAACCAAAAATACAGATCAGATCTGCAACCTGTATCTCCAGAACTCTGCTAGATCCTGATAAACTCACTTTAAAGGGAACACTAAGATTTTATAGCTTTTTATGTACTCTGTGGCATTGTGCAGTATAACTATTATTTCAGAAATCCACGTCGTTTATCAGTTCAAAATACTTAATGAGAAAGTAACAAGCCTTATTCACAAAATAACACTATTCTGATGGTATAAAAACTGCCACACATTATAAATGTTGGTCCAAATATTTACTGCTTTTCCATCAATATGAATCTGTAGTGATTTTTGGGAAGATTTTTACAAAATGCCATTCCTGGTAGCTACAAGAGTTCCCTGTAGATTTGCCATATAAAAGTACTTTCTAAGTATCATGCAAAATATTCTTTTTAGTTTGACAGTTAGACTCATTTGCCTTTGAAACTTATGTAGAAGTGTTCAGGTAAAAAAAGAGCCTTAAGTATGTCATCACTGAGAAATCAGTTCTGAAAACTGGTTTTGCAAACACAGCACAAAATTAAGAACATGGCATATTAGGCACCCCTATTAAAACCACATTTAAAATACAAAACCCACACAGATTTTTTCCATGATGACTGCTGAGCAGAGTTGAAAAGTGAAGTTGACATGAGATTTATAGCTTTTTCTTGTTTATCTAAGGGCTCCTTGGAGCAGGTTACCTTCTTAGGAAAATGCAGCAGTCAAAATCCACATTCCACTGCGCTGGATGCAACAGCTAAAGCTTGGCACCAGGTCCTCCTCGCATCAGAGCAGCAACCAAGAAACATTCTCTAGTTCTTTAGTTCACATGTCACAGGCTTCTACACTCAACAGGCATTTGGAGACTGCCCCTTTCAGAGATACAAAGTCTGAGAAAGTTTCAGTTCAGCTACCGCCTACCCGGGAAACCACACAACTTGTGCTGTGTTCGAACCCTGGCACTTCCTCCCTCTTGCGGCAGGCTGGTTGTGCAATCCATCGTGCACCTACTCACTGACATATGATGTGTTAAACACGGCTCGGCGGATGTTGTTTTGAAACAGGTGCACCTCATCACAGAATAATTTAGGTTGGGAGGGATTTCTGGTGGGATGTCATCTAGTCCAGCCACCTACTCCCAGCTAAAGTAGCAAAGTTAGACCAGGTTGCTCAGGCTCTTGGCCAGTGGAGTTTTCAACGTCAAGGAAAAAGGATTATCCAACCTTTCCAGGCCTCTGTTCCACTGCTTGCTTATTGACATTGTGATTTCCACCACCACCACCCTTAAATTCAACTGGAATCCCCCTCACTACAATCTGTGATGGTTGTCTCTCATTCTCTTGCTGACCTGCCCTGAGAAGAGTCTCTTAGATTTACACTTATAGCAAACACAGATACAGGTATGCATCTTACTACTGACCTGATTTTACCACATTGACTATACCTAAACCAATAAGTATCTACTCCTTGTTACCACATTTGCTGGATTTTAATCAGGGTTTCCAGTGCCATTATATGGTATTTGTAAAGGACAAAATGCTGACGAACTACAGGTGACCCTTTCAAATACACTTATGCCTCTGAACCTACTGGGACTTTTCACTCCCTTTGTGAGAGCTGATGGTCTAGAAACAAAGAAATGCATGCATAAACATGATCCTGCAGTCTCACAAGAAATCAGGTTTGCTTCTGATACAGAAAACCAAAAGGGCATCATGCTTTTATTTATTATTCCATTGCAGATAAATAACCTAGCATGACAATCAAATCTCCACAGACGTATTGCATGAGTCACATCTTAACTGAAACATACGTTTGTCACCAATCATCTAGTTCCCACTAGCTGGAAAATTTAAACAGCACCCCCCATGTCACTTTTAATTGTGCTGCACATCACTAGGTTAGTAACCTTCACTTACAAATGTCAACTCAATTGGACTAAAGAACCCTAAATAATACGAATTTAGTATCACAAATTTAATATCAAGAAAAGAGACAAATATTTTCTTTAGAAAATATCTTCTACCTAATCTGAAGTTTATCCAGGCAAGGTCCATTTGTATACCTATGACAGGAAACTGTCTCCAAAATTTAATTTAAAGCATCAAATAACAGCTCAGATTCATTTTCACACTCGTGGTCTAGTTCTAGCTCATGCTTCCTTGTTGATTTTCAACTTCCCAAATTCTCATCCCCTTCTTCCAAAGTAAGTAAGTACCACATAACCATCACTGCTTGCAATTTACTTTTCTTATTTTCTTCCTTTGCAAAGCCAAGTTTAATCTCCTATCTCATTTCTATCTAAAACTCTGTGTTTCCACATTCTTCTGGGAAAATAAGCTTATCAAATCCTTGCTCAAGAATAGTTTTTGCTAAGCCACTAAGCTTCTGTTTGGATTTTTAACAGCTCACCTCTTTGCAGTTCAAAATGTAACTTATTTTTTAAAGCTGCTCTAAGACAAATTCCTCTTTTGGCTCACAGTCATGTTTCTTCTATCGCTTTATTCCAATAGCCCTGAATGAGTCTTAGCAGCTGTTTGAATATAATAATTCTTATAATGTGTCATTTGTGATGTATGTCCTTCCTGCAGAGTCCATCTGGCAAGACTGTTCTCTTAATAAATATCCCAAGAGCTATCTTTATTGTCCAAAATGATGTTACACAGCTCTCTCCCTGATAATAGCTATCTCTATTTTTGTATCATGCTATATTCACCTCAGATATTTTGAAGCAAGCTGAGAAGCTATAAAATAACTGCAGCACCAGCTGCTGTCAGGACATAGAAGGCTAACATTATATGTTGGAACTATTTTTCACACTATGAAGGCTTGTTTCAGCCACAGAGCAGCTTCACTGATTTCACTACCTACACATCCAAAGCTCCAGTGTTTTTACTACCAGCATGGATTAAATTGTGGATTTTACAGCTGGGAAAGTAGGGCTTTGTAAATGCAGATGCTTACTGTGGCAGGCTTTTTTAACTGCAATTGGTTTCTCCATAAAATCCTTGCACTCTACCACCTCATTTACCCTACCCAACAGCACACCAGTATTTGGTATGGATGTAGTTTTGTGTGGGAGTCGGCTTTAAAACCACGTACAGTGAAACAACTTAAGGACAAACCACATTAACACAATATTATAAATCCTGCATATCAAGTATCCAAACTTGCTATCTTCCATGTAAAGATTGCAGTCACCATGGCCGTCAGTTTGGCATTTGTTGAGTTCAGCTATCAGTATTTTAATTAGAAACGGTTACATGTTAGGAAGAGAAAATCCAGTGTATCAAGATTTCTGTTTGCACAAAAATTGCAATACAGGCAGCCTTAACTATTGCAAATTAAATTTCATCTGTTTCTTCTACTTATCTTAGTATTAGTTTAGGTCTAAAATGGAATGAGTTCACACTTGGAGGGGGTGGTGATGGGAGATTTGCTAATTGTTTTTATCTGTTCAAATCAACATGATTGCAACATATTTCTCAGGTAAGACTTCGTGAGAAAAACTGATCTAAAAGTGGAAAATCAAAGAAATCACAAACCAAGTCAGTAGAAACTTCTTTTCAACATGTCTTGCGGGTAGCTTAAGCTGCCACAACCCTTGTTTGACCAGAATCTGTGAAAACAGTTCAGATGATGCTATATGCTCTCAGGATATGTACATACAGAACCACATCAGTTGACACCAATTACCAAATGCAAAAGAAATAGAAGGAGTACAAAGATGCATCTTAGTCTTCACAGTTGCTGGATTTATTTTCCCATGTTCTAAACAGACAAAGGCTTCATGAAGCACATCAAGATGTCACAAAAGCTTTGTAGTCACTGAGAAGGAAGCTATAGCTGAATTTTTCCTACAGTTGAAAGCAAATAGTGCCATAATGAAAACAGATACCCTGCAGGAGGAAAACAAATGAGTACTACACTGACACCATCAATGACTCTTGTCAACAGCTTTTTATACAAATACCAAAGTTGTTGTGGGTTCTCCTGGCTTCATACTCCCACAGAACTAACTTCTGTAGTGGCTGGAAAGAAAGAGAGAGAAGCTGTTGCAGAAAAAAAAAAAAAAATAAAAAATAAAGCAAGCTTATCTATTCATTTAAATTATGCTTATTCTAAAATACTAGTAATCTTTACAAGTTATAATGCCCAAATAATGAAGCAAACCAAACAAAGCTTCTGGTCTCCCAGTTTTCTGTTTGTTTAGCCGTACATTTGTTCTACAAAGGTATTAGATATCCAGTTTAATTCTTTTGATTCAAGAAAGGTAAAAGTTCTTGACACAAGGTGGCAGGAGCTTCACAATTAAAATCATATCTAATCCATGCTCTAAGAACACATTGTTAATTGTCAGGACTGTCAACCATTTCAATGAGCCAGGATGCAAAGAAGCCTGCTTCACATGCGTGGGGGTTTTGTTTGTTTGTTTGAGTTTTGATCGGTTGGTTGGTTTAAGGTTTGCTTTATTTTTTGGCTGAAGGTTGTTTGGGGTTTTTTGTGTGGGTTTGTTTGTTTTCCACATAACAAGAAAATAAAAAAAAAAATACTGTTTAAAAAAAGCGATAGAAGAGCTCACAGAAGCCCTGTGGGCAGCAGCAGAAGTTGCTGCCTACTAAGTTTGGGAGTTTTAACTAAAAAGGCTTCCAAAAATAAAAGGAGTACTTAGAAAAATTGTTTTCCCACCCTGGATTCATTGCTATATAAGCACTACTTTGCACAATTCTCAAATTTCTATTTCTGCCACTTCCCACTTTGATTTTTCAGCAAGAACGTAGCAACTAGTATCTATTTAAGGTAACAGCTCCATTAGGTACCCGGGGCCATGCAGGACACCAACCTCCAATGAATGCGATGTTTATTCCTTGGCACAGGTTCCTGAGAAGAGCCAATCCTTTCATTTGGTACCAATGAAAAACCCAATTTAGAGTAAATCTATTTAGTCATCTTAACTTTGCTGCCTAATATCAGGGGGTTTTTTATCCCTGAGTTTCAAACACTTTGCTTTGAGTTTTGGGGGAGGGTGCCTGAAAATCATCATTGTCTCTGATCTGCCGGTGATGTCCAGGTAATCCTTGATCCATCCCTGAGTCCTTCTTATTCCTTCCTTTTCGTCCTTCACTGGAGCTCATGCCCTAAAATATTGCAGGTACCCTGGTTTGGGAGATGTTTTACCCCTGTGCTCACAGCAGACAGCTCTGCTGGTATAAGTTTAAGTACAAACATGCTTTGAATCTTGAATGGCCAACATTCATGAATGCAGCATTGCAAATTACATTTCTTTGCCTTAGCCTATGTAATATCTGTATTTTTACTGATTTTATTTTTAATGTTTTTAAACTTGTGTTTGCTCTCAGGATTATTTCAGGGAAATGGAAGATCATACAGCTCAGGAAGGAGTGTTTCATCCACTGAAGTCACTCACGCTACGCTATCAGCAGCAAGGAAGTTACTAGGTTACTAGGTGTGACCTTCAAGTTATAGTGTTCACTGGTGCTTAATACTGTCTCCACAGAATGCTTCAAATCTATTGTCACTTAAGAGCCAGATCATGGTCGCAGAGAGGATCGTATCTTTGGATTTTACTTATTTTTTAAACACAGAAGTGTATGAGAAAAGTTTCAAGTATTCTGTCTTCCACTGGCTTTAGACTTTCTTCCTACATAACTTTGCTTTAGAGCTCTTCTTATTTGCTACTGGTAAATGATGATTATTATAAATTGTGCTCAAGAAGTAATAAAATCCCAAAGATACTACTGCATAAACATCATTGAAATTGTACATAGTATTATTTATAGATTATAACTTTTTTTAACAAGATTAATTATATTTAGTTTCTGACAAATTCCATTTTTAGCTAGAGCTGAGGATATTGCCATTCTCCCTCCCTTTTTGTTCCAAGCAGCTATCCACCTATTTCCAGCAAAATCTTTCAGTTTTGGGAAACAGGCATTTCCACCAGAAAATCACTGTGAGTAGAAGATCTCAACCACCTTT